CAAGTTATGAATTATTAGAATGTAATTATATATTTTTTCATGATAATAAAATTAAATTGTATATATAAATAAATTTTTAATTTACTTAAATATATTATATTATAGTATAAATTATTAATATATTTTATTTTTTTAATAATGTAAATTTAATGTATAATTTTATTTTTTTATTAGGATTTTTTGTTATATTTTAATTTTTAAAATTAGTACGTGAAAAAATTTATAGATAATTTGTAATTACTTATTTAAATAATTTAAATTTTATTTTTTTTAATAATTTTAACTATTTTTTAAAATTTAAAAATTAATTACTTTAATTTTTTTTAATCTTTAATTCGTATTTATCTTATTAAATAAAGGTATTTTTAATAATTTATTAATTGTTCTATTAATATATATTTTATTTTAGATTAATTATTAAATTTTCGTTTTTTATTCTTTTTTATTCTTTTTTCTTAATTCATACAGTATCATTTTTCATAACTTTCTTCGTTTTTTTTTTTTCATTCTCTCAAATTCAATATTCAATTCAAACCCGAGTAATGGCTTCTTGGACTTGGATAACTGTGTGCGGAAAAAGAGGAGAAAGCAGCAGCTGCTTACTTTTTCTGCAGAAGTTTGCAAAAAATGCATTATTTAAGAAAAAGAAATACATGAAAACTTTCTCTCTAACAACAATAAAAAGACAACGAAGGTCATAAAATAATAATAATAAGACACAATATTTATGTTATAATTTTTCAATAATATTTATTACTTTTTAATCTATTATATTTAAAGAATAAAATGTAATAAAATAGATTTATGAAATAAACAATATTTTAAACATATTAATTGATCATAATAATTTTATGATAATATATATATATATATATATATATATATATATATATATATATATCAACATATTCTCATTTTTAAATAGAGTAATAATAAATTAATTTATTTTATTTTATTAACTTAAATAATTTTACTTTCTATTTTTATTTTTTCTCTTTTAATCTAAATGAAGCATAAATAATGTTTAGTAAATTTTTAATTTAATTAACTTTTTTTAATTATCTACTTCTTTATTTATTTTTTAATCTTACTGAACAATAATTATCTTTGAAAACATTAAAATTTCATTGTTAGTATTTTAAAATTAAATCTTTACAGTCATTCACATATAACACAACAAAGTAAAGTGTGTGAGAGAATATTTTGAATTATATTTTTGTTTTATACTAAACAATTCAGTCATATTTCATTAACATTGACAGAAAAAACGGGTCACTTTTTCTGGTTTGGCCAAGTATGTCCTATTTCACGTCTGCAATTAATATAACTTATGACGTGCTCTGTCTCGTTCTTATTCTCCTAATTTTTTTAAATAAAATTATATATTTTAAAAAAAATTGATTAGATGAATAATTTTTATTTTTTTTAATTAACATCTTTTATTATTTAAAATTTAAAAATTATTATATTTATATTTTAAATTATTTACTTATAATTAATAATATATATTTAAATTATAAATGATATATATATATATATATATATATATATATTTACATTTTAGTACACAAAATCAATTATATAATTTTTCAATGATATATCATTTTGAGTAAGATTTACCATATATGGAAAGTTACAATTTACTCAAATAGAATAATATATTTTAAAGAAAAAATTCTATATAAATTTATTTATTTAATTATTGTTCCTACATATTTTTCTTTTTTATTCTTAATTTTTTTTATCTTTCTTCATTCATTACTTTTTTTTCTATCTTACTTCTCTCCTTTCCTATTTATTCTCTTAATTCAACTACTATATTAAAATTTAATAAAAATATATTAAAACAAATATTTTAAAAACAATATTAATAATAAAAAAATACTAATTAATTATTTGAAATTATGATGACAATAAATAATTTTATTTATTTTATTAATAAATAATTTTATTTATATGACATAAATAATTAATTTTAAATTATTTTATCATAATAAATAATTACTTATCTAATTACAAAATATTAAATATTTATAAATTAAATGTATTTTATATTTAACAATTACACCTAATTATAATAATTTTGAGTTATGATAATTAATTAGATTAGATGATTTTTAAAAATATTTATTAAAAAAATACTTTAAAATAAATATTTAATTTTTTAATAATTATAATATAACAATAATATTTGTAATATCTCAAATTTATTTATATAATATTTTTTTCAAATATAATATATTAAATTATAATCTTTATGGATTATTTAAATATTTTTATTTTCTAATAATAATAAAATACTTATATTATCAAATTTTTATTTTTAATTAAAGAATAAGATGATAGAGTGAGAGAAAAATAAAAGAGAGAAAAAAGAAAAAAAATGAAATAAATGAAGAGAAAGAGAAAAATAACAAAATAAATAAGGAAAAAGAGGAAAGTATTTATATTATATCAGAAGAATTTACTTTTTCTTATTAAATGTTATGTATAAACAATAAACCGATTTAATTGAGTAAATAAACTTAGAAGAATTTTATGTAATTAATTTTTCTTTTTAAATATAGTATTTATGATATTAATTCTCAAGTTCCAATCTAATAACTCATATACAATCTAATTTAATAATATTATAATAATAAATATAAAAATAAATATAAAAATATAAAATTGTATTACTATTATAATATTAAAGTAGGTTGTTAATTAGATTTATGAATAAAAGAATTGTCTAAATATAAATTTCTTTTTATACGTTAACAAATATTATCATTAAAGAAGCAGTGTGGTGTATTTCCATGATAATATATATGGTTGCATCTGCATAAATTATTGTTGGAGGGACAAGCAGAAAAAGATTAAACCATTTGTGGTGATTGTATTGCATTCAGCACTTTAAGGTTTAGGTGTCAATTTCATTTATACAGGAAGTTGGATCATGTTCATTGCAGGATTCAATAGCTGTCTAAATTAGATAAACAAAAAATAGTCAATCCCAAACTCAATTATAAATTAATTAGGTTCAAAAGTATGCAAATAAAGTATTCATTTTTTTTGTCGTACTTCACAGAGTGGTTCATAATAATTCCATATTGTTAACACACTTAATAACGTCTGATATAACCAATTTACGCATAATTTTCTCCCTTATTTGATCAACTGTGCAATGACACAACCCTTAGTTTTCTTACTAATGATATTGTCTTCTCTGCAATCAAAAGTACTGCAACACCGTTAAGTTATCTCCGTTATCGCATTATATAAACAATGTTCATGTGTTTTTGCTGTTTTTTCACTTACTCCCAAATAAAGATAACAAAAAGTATCTATCTCTCTGCGTCTGCAGATAAAATCTGTATAATATATACAAATGATAACTACTTCAAGGAAAGAACCTAATTCGATTTCTTCAAATGTGACCGAATATTTTAACACTCAATGCAAGAACCACAGGTTAACATTTTAGTAGGAAGAAGAAGATACTAAGTCCCAACAGTAAAAACAACAACTACCTAATCGGGCATTTAATTATATGTTCTTTCTTTTTCTTATATATAAGTTTATATTCTCTTGTTTATTTTTATTTTCTTTTTATTATTAAGCATGAACCAAAAAATGTTAATTTTGTAACTTTAGAGAAATATTATGTAAGAAGATAACAGGCTAAATAAATAAGTCATTATATAATTTGTATTAATTCTGCATTTGTTTTGATTTATTTTTTACAAATATTCAGTTTACTTTCGTTGAAAATAATGGTTTTGTTTTCTCAACTTATAATGATGTATGGTAATAAAATTGTTTACTATTTTCAATAATAATCTAACAATATAGTATCAAGCGTGATTTACATTTTAAATGATTTCCTGTAATATAAACACCAACTTTATATTCATGTAAATTTTGCATAATATAAAGATGTATTTCTCGACAAGAAGATAAAATATATAAAGTATTTACGATTTTTTTTAAAATCATGATAATTTTTTTTAAATTATAAATCACAATTTTTTAAAACTCTAGTCATAATTTAAAAACAAATCTTTAAAAATATATAAATTCTTATAAACTTAAAAAATTTATATAGCATTTTTATATTAAAAAGTCTTTTTAAATCCAAATTGGATATTCAAAAGTTATCTAAACTGCATTAAATTTTGTATACTATGTTAATGCATCGAATTGATTAATGTAATCTCGTATATTTATTACGTGTTGATCCAATTAAATTTAAATTCAGACAAATAACTATTCTTGCTGAATGGTTAAAGTAAGAAATCAAGGTACAGTTGATGTATTACGACGCATGAACACACACATTGGCAGTAGTAACTCGGAGAAGAAACAAGATAAAACAAAAACTCAATCTTTCACCCTCCAAGTAGTTTCCCATGTGAAAGAAGCCACCGAAAAAGTTTGATATACTTGATGTTGCTATTGACATTTGGTGGAATGTGGCAGAAAAAAATGGTAGAGGACCCCACATGCCAGAGTAAACAGTGACATTAAATTTGAAACTCAACTGCTTCTTCTGATTCTCCATATCTACCTTCCAATCCGTCTTTTCTGGTGTTTCTTTAAGATAAAAATACACACATCCCTTCTTAAAAGATTCCACTATTAGAGTTTTTATCCCCCTTTGGCCTCCCTGTATTTGCGTGTCATCCAAGTACTCCCCTTTTCACTCTTTGCACTCAAAAAGCTATTCCCAGGATCACACACTCGCTGACAAAGAAAAAGAGAGAGAAATAGCTATTACTCTGTGGTTGACTATGTCTAAATGGGAATCAGAATTCAGAAAGTGTACTTGAACTGGGATTCATCTGATTCCTTTGTCTCTGCTGATTCATATTCTCTTTAAGGTAAGTTTTCTTCTCTGTCCTGTGCCATAAATTCTCTTTCTTTTCCTCCTTTTTCCCCTGTCTGCTCCAGAGTATTAACTTAATCTATATGGGGGCCTTTATGCTTGCGGTGTTTTCAATCTATAATCAACAACATAGATGGTGGGGTTGGTGGAAGTTTTTTCTTTTATGCATGTGGAATAATTTGAATTCCTCTTGAAGCAATTCAATTTAGTCCATTCATTATCAAGCCATGTAGGGCGTTGCTTCAAGGGAAAAAGACAAAAAAGAAAGAGCAAATTCGGTGCTGCAGAACTGAAGTTATTCGAGCGAATTCGTATGTTTGATATGAAATTCAATGCATTTCTTATTTCGTTACTTGAAGAATTGGTTGATTGAATCTGCTGATTAAAGAAACTTTAACATGATTTGATAATTGATACAAATATCTTGCTGATTGGATACAATTTTTCTTGTGTTTCAAACTGTCTTCGGAAGAACATCGTAGTCATCCTTCCTTGTGAATTAGACATATAGCTAGCTTTTTTATAAGTTATGCTTAATCTTTCACTTCATTTGATCTTTTATATGTCAACCTCTACCTTTTTTTTACGTTTATCATTTCCCCTGGTGTATCAAACTGTTTAGGACCTGAGAAACTGGGTAACACGTGTTTCCCAGAAGAGGTGATATGGGTTTTATATACCACATGTTTTTCTCTAGCATTTAATCGTGTATGATCTTTTAATTTTATTATAGTTTAGACAGATGATCAAACCATGCTACATTTGAAGATTGAATTGAGGTTTTGTTAGTTTTTAACATTTTTCATTAATCTGCCGAATTTCCTTCCGTGTAATTTGTAATATATCTGCTTACCTCATTGTGGGGCTTATTGCAGAATAGGTTTTACCAACTTGCAGCAAATCATATTCATGGGTTGGTTCACTAAATTGCTCAAGGGATCCAACCGTAAATATTCTGGAGGAAGATATCATGGGAAATATGGAGATGACAGATATTCAGACAATCGTGATAATTCAGCGGTAATTACACTTTCACATATTGTAAAAAATTTATTATTTCTTTTAGAATCTAAGTCTGAGTTGAGATTTCAGATTGGGTAAAAATAAAAAAGTTAAACAATACATAAGTGAGAGAGACCTCCAAATCTAATGTCCTAAAATTTTGAGTCAAAGATGGTGTCATTTTATCCTATAAGATTTATTTGAAGTTTCATTCATAAGTATTTCCCACTTGTTCATTATATTCAATAGTGAATTGTAAAAGAGAATTACACTTTAAGTGAGAGATTATCGGAATTAGTTCCTTTTGGACTTGGTCAGAAATTGTGAATTGTAATAGTGCCATACTGAACGCAGGATGATTTGACAGAAATTGAGAAAGAAGAAATTGATCGGGCAATAGCACTCTCTCTTTCAGAGGCAGACCAGAAAGGGAAAAAAGTTATTGGTGAGATTTATGCTTTTGCTGTTTTACGTATCTTCTTAGTAAAGTTAAGAATTCAGTTTGCGAGGTTACCTAAAATGTATATTCTAAAGATAATGCACATCGATTTATTAAGTTCTTGTATAATTATATAGGTGTCTTGGTGTCAGTGATCAAATATCTCAATTAAATGTAATTCTAATCTATACGAGAATTATCAGGATTTGTTCATTCTGATGCTTAGTTGTAAAAGTACAGAACATATTTTCATTTGGTTAGCGTCCATCAAAGAAATTCTGAAATTTCATTTGGTAAACTTGTGTTTGGAAATGGATTGCCGGTTTTTGCCCAGCTAAAGTATTTAAAAATGCCTCATGTTTTTGCCTCTCAAAACCCCAGAGGAGGACTCTGAATCTGAAGATGATGAACTGTGTCCACTTGATGATGAGGAGGACAAATGTGTTGAAGTTCAGCAAGATGAAGATGACCATCATGCTAAAATTCAACAGGACGAAGACAAAAATCTTGATGAAGTTCAACTTGAGGAAGATGAACAACTTGCCAGGGCAATTGAAGAAAGTTTGAGCATTAGTTCTCCTCCTCGATCTGACACTGATTCTTTATTTCAACCTTTTGCACACTTATTCCCACCTGTATACAGGTACCTGTGGGAAAGATGACATCTTTTTTATCTGTAGTTAGTAAGCCCAGTTTCAAATACCATATATGGAAATTGCTAAACTTCACTGATTGTGGTAAATAAAGGGGACAAATGATTGTCCTCATTAGTAAAATTGCTTTAATGGAATACTTGGGGTTTAAAAAGTCTATCTCTTCAAGAAGAATTTCTAAAATTATGCTTAGTTAATATCAGAAATGTAGATATGTAGACTAAATATTGTTGACTTTTTGTCTTCATTTCCATTAAATGAAAATGATGCAAGGACTACCCTATATAGCATGTGATAATGGGGCCAATTAGTGTCATATTTATTGTAACTTGCTAGTACTTTTAAATATAATAAGTATCTTGCCATCTTGGAATTTTTATGTGCGAACCCTAAGAATATTGAAATACTCACCCTTGTGACTAAAGCATGGGTCAAGATAGGAGACATCTATAAAGTTTCCTTTTCATAAATTCTTGAATCTTACGTCTATAGAAACAGAGGCTAAACCTGGTTGTTGCAAAATGTGCTTACAGAATCTGTGCTGGCTGCAATGCCGAGATTGGCAGTGGAAGATTTTTGAGTTGCATGGGGGGTTTTTGGCATCCTGAATGTTTTTGTTGTCAAGCTTGCAAACTTCCAATCACTGATTATGAGGTTAGAGTCTTGTGTCCGTTGCTATATGCTTCATGATACTCAATTTGAGCACATTTAAACTTTCCTCTGGAATTCATAAATGAAGATATCTAACTTTAATTTTCTTAATTTTGAGGTCAATATGATTGTAAATAATGTTTACATCCTTATTCATTTACAGTTTTCTATGTCTGGGAATCGCCGTTATCATAAATCCTGCTATAAGGAGTTGCATCATCCGAAATGTGATGTTTGCCATAACTTTGTAAGTACGAACAGTCAGTTTTTCTTACAGACTTTTAGTCAATTCATTGTGCCAGACTTTGTTCAATGGTTTCAATAAATTTTGATACGCATACAAATTTCACTACATCATATATTTTGTAGGAAGACTATTGATATTTAGTTGATTCCAAAAATACTTTAGCCCAGAAATCAGAATAATACTTGGGAATTATTTGCTTAGGTAGATCGTGCCATGCGTGCCCTTCATGATTCAGATATAAGTTTGAATGCTTTATTTCTTCTTAAATATTAATAATTGGCTTATATTTGCAAGAAATTATGAATCAGCTACTCTAAGTTAAAGTCATTATACACATTGTTCAGAATTTCTGAGATCTAAGATTTTCTAGCTGTGCATGTTTAAGTTTATATCAAATATGTTGTATGGCTAAAATAAGCTTGCTCTTGAGCTATGACATATATTCAGTCAACCAAATATTGGAGAGACTAAAGAGACGTAGAAATAATACATTAAGATATCAAGAAAAATTGCAAGTGAAACTATTTTGTCTTCTAACCTAGGTCAAACATTTTTTGATCTCCTACAACGGCACTATTAATAGGTGGATAGTGCCACTTGGAATTCCCTAAAATGTTGGTTGAAGAAATTTTATTACTACAGATAATGCTTTAAAAAGGGAATTCCCTAAAAAGGATAATGCACCTTTTTGGAATCTAAAGTTGAATGTGTCATTTTGTTTTTTAAATTTTGCTAGCTATACAGTACAATTGAATGATTGATTTTTGTTCATTGCAGATCCCACCAAATTCAGCTGGCCTAATAGAGTATAGAGCACATCCTTTCTGGTTACAAAAATATTGTCCATCGCATGAACGTGACGGTACTCCTCGTTGTTGTAGCTGTCAAAGAATGGAGGTCAGTTATAACAGCTCCCAAAACATGTCATTTATTTGTTGATGTAATCCCATTTCTCACACCTTTCTCTGACTCTGTCTTTTTCCTTTTCATATCTGATATCAAACTTTCCAATCAGTGCAGTCAGTGGATGCTAAATATCTGTTGCTTGATGATGGCCGAAAGCTGTGTCTGGAGTGTCTTGACTCAGCTATCATGGATACTCATGAATGCCAACCTCTCTATGTTGAGATACAAGAATTTTATGAAGGTTTACATATGAAGATAGAGCAGCAAATTCCTATGCTTTTGGTTGAGAGACAAGCACTGAACGAAGCCATGGAGGGAGAGAAGAATGTACATGTTATCGTTTTGAAATTTCATTAATGAAATTTGCTTTTCACTTTCTCTTCTTTCCATCATAACCCTTCTATTGTCCTGATTTTGCATTTCTTTTGTGTGTAGGGCCATCACCACTTACCTGAAACTAGAGGACTTTGCTTGTCTGAAGAGCAAACTATTCCCACTGTAGATATCTCTTCAGAATTTCATTCTTCATTTATGATTTTAATTCCAATAAAATCTCTGTTGATCAAGCAGTGGTTTTTGTTCGTTTCTTGTAATTCCAGATTTTAAGGAGACCAAGGATTGGAGCAGGATACCAGCTCATAGATATGATCACTGAGCCTTTTAGACTGATCCGTCGATGTGAAGTGACAGCCATACTTGTTTTGTATGGCCTACCCAGGTATCCTTCTCATACCAATTATTTTCATGAACTGAAGTGTTTGCATATGGAGTTCCCTGTATACAATTCAAGGATTTCATGTGCGTAGGTTATTGACTGGATCAATCCTGGCTCACGAAATGATGCATGCGTGGCTTAGACTTAAAGGTACTATCGTCTTTCCTGTGATTAACACCAGTGTTTTCATTTCATTGTGAAGTTGGACAAATTTTGTGGGGTTATGGCAGGCTATGGAAATCTGAAGCCAGAAGTTGAAGAGGGAATTTGCCAAGTCTTGGCTCATATGTGGTTAGATTCAGAGATCTATTCCAGCTCTGGGAATGAAGGTGCATCATCGTCATCTTCATCTTCATCTTCATCATCCTCTTCCTCACCTTCATCCTCTTCATCATCTAAGAAGGGTAAACGTTCTGACTTTGAGAAGAAACTTGGTGAATATTTCAAACATCAGATTGAGTCAGATAGCTCATCAGCTTATGGAGATGGATTCAGAGAGGGTAACCAGGCAGTGCTCAAGTATGGGCTTAAAAGGACCCTTGACCATATTCGAATGACTGGAAGTTTTCCATATTGAAAATTGGTATTGGGCTCCTTCAGAGTGAGCTGTTCATCTTCATGAGTAAAGTAAGGAATCTCAATTGTTGATGATAAAATTAACAAGTTATATTTGAACAAAGTCATGATTTATATGCACAAGCATATACTGCTAATTTTCATCAATGACTGAGACTTTTTGCTTTTCTCTCTAAATGAAGGGCTCACTTTAGAGAAAACCAAATTGAGAAAAATGATACAATTTTCTGTCCTCTACATCAACCAATATATCAGCTTTGTCATTTAAATTATATAGGATCCAAGGTTCCAAAATTATATAATTTTCACAGTACTCAAGGCTAAGTAAGGAATGGAAAAGGCTCCTGTTAGTCTGTGATTGCCAAAATGTTTTTTCTTTCTTTTAGGGCGTGCAGTGGAGAGGGATGAAATGTGCAGTTGTTGCAATTTTCATATAAATGTTGCCCCCATATTCTATATGTATTGCAGAATCCCTTGCAGAAGTTGAAAAAAAGTGGAAGTAATTACAGTAAATATTTGTCATTTTTGTACTTTGCTGATCTTCTTCTTTTCTGGAATTTTTTCCCTCTAGTTGGAAGTTGCAATTGAGAAAGGTGGTTTCTCACAATCACTGTTCAACAGTTTAATGTAGGTAACTAGTTAGCCACCCCTGCTATGCACATGATTTTAAGTTTCGGTTTACTTTCTACAAAAGTCCTTTCAAATATTGATTTGATTATATTTAATAAAAGACAATATTTGTGCTTCATTTCTTGAATATCAATCAATAGCAAATTGTTGAAACAATCTTTGACCTTTAAAAACCAAACTTTCTTGGTCTATCTGTAATTCGAAATGTTATGAACTCACAAAGACAATGTATTCAACTAATACACTATATATTTTTATCTTATTGTTTAAAAAATTAAATATAATTTTTTAATTATTTATTTAGTAAAAGGAATAATTAAACCCTTGAACTATAAAATTTATTACTTGATTGAAATTGCTAACTAATTAAGATTGCAATAATGTGATTTAGATACATTTACTTAAGGAATTTAAATTTGAACAATTAAGATTGGATAGGTTGTATGGGCTGGTTAAAGAAATATAACCTCAACTTCTTTTTTTATTTTTCTCTATCATTTGTCTTATTTCAATTGTCACAAAACTCAATTATTCTCTCCTTAATAATTATTTTACTATTTATAGACTTGGTATAAATGTTAGATGAGGTGATTACTTCCTTGAGCAATTAGATGTTTACTTACGAATGAAAATATCTTAGAGTTTATTTAATTAGTTTTGTTTTCAGTTTTTTTTAATTATAAAATAATTTTGAAAAATATTTTTAAAAAATTATTTCACAACTCTAATTTTTGACTGTTTTAGACAAAAAAATATAGCATCGCAATAAAAAAATTCACAGCGAAAATTGAAAAATAATATTTGTAATTTTATGGCATCGAAAAAAATTATATGATACACTTATTGGTAAAGATATAAATATTATTAATGAAAAAAAAACTTTTATTAACTTTATATTTTTAACATAAAATTGGTTTTAAAATAAATATTCTAAAATGTTATTTTCTCTTACTGTATATGTTCTCTTTAATTTGTTCTCCGAAATTTTCCTTCTCATTTTTACAAATATCCTCGTACACCGCGTCCTTTTAACTTTGGGGGCAATCCTAAGGTTATGTTTGGTTGAAGTGATTTGAGAGAGTGAAAATGGGAGTGTGGAAATGGAGGAATTTGAAGAAAAATAGAGGTGAAATTAAAGTTGTTTGGATGAATGGAAAGTGAAAGAAAAGTTTATGGAAAATTATGAGTGATTTGATTGATATGAGATATAAAAGTTATAATTTTAATTGATTATTTAAGAAAATTACTATTTTACCCTTGTGTATAAAATAAGGTTAAAATTATTATAAATATAATTTTTTAATTAATTATCCATATTTTAACATTGATTATATATTTAAAAGAAAAAACAAATTTAAAAGTGTTTGTAAGTGGAAACAAATTTAAAAAATTTAATTTTTTTAAACAGTTATTAAAAAATATATAAATAAATAATTACAAAATTATTTTTAGAAATTAATAATAAATTACGAGGAAAATACATATAAAAAAAATATTTTTATGTAAAATTAAAATAAATTATATTTTAGAATATATATATATATATATATATATATATATATATAGTTTTGCTTTCTTTTCAAAATAAAAAAAAATCTATTTAGGATTAGATAGCGGTTGTAGATTTAACCGCTATCTAAAACGTATGTTAGATAGCGGTTGTCCATTTAACCGCTATCTAAAACATGTTTAGATAGCGGTTAACGTGGAACCGCTATCATATATCAATGTCCAGACTTATTATGATCGATTAAATTTTAAAATGATCGATTATATTCGAAATTTTTTCAAATAATTAATTATAATCGATTAGTTTTTTAAATAATTGATTAGAATTGATTAGTTTTTCAAATAATAGATTATAATTGATTAATTTCTCAAATATAAATTAAATTAAAATAAAAAAATATTTTTCAATTATATATTATAAAAATTATAATTATATAATTAAAAAAATATATCTATATAATTTTATAATGTTTTATATAAAATTTATAGTTTTAAATATAGTTTTAAAAAGAAGTATGTATTTATTAGATTAATAATATATTTAGAATTATGGTTGAAAGTAGTAAAATATAATTTTTATTTGTGTGATTAAAATTTTTTAATTTTTTACTTTATTTGATATTGTAATATTTTTTTATAAGTGACCCATATATGAATAATTAATTAGAATAAATTAGAATAAATGTTAACCGATCTTATAAATTAATTATATATATATATATATATATATATATTTTACGTAAATTAAAATAATAATTATCAACTTGAAAATAATTTATATTTAATATATATATGTATATATATATATATTCTAAAATATAATTTTATTTTATTTCTATAATATATATATATATATATATATATATATAAATGAAAATAAGTTATATTTTGGAATATATATTTTATATTATAGTAATTAAAATAAATTATATTTTAGAATATATATATATATATATATATATATATATATATATATATATATATATATATAGTTAGTTAGTTTTGCTTTCTTATAAAAAAAAATCTATTTAGGATTAGATAGCGGTTGTATATTTAACCGCTATCTAAAACGTATTTTAGATAGCGGTTGTCCATTTTACCTCTATCTAAAACCTGTTTAGATAGCGGTTAACGTGGAACCGCTATCATATATCAATGTCCAACTTATTATGATCGATTAAATTTTCAAATGATCGATTATATTCGAATTTTTTTAAATAATTAATTATAATCGATTAGTTTTTTAAATAATTGATTAGAATTGATTAGTTTTTCAAATAATAGATTATAATTGATTAATTTTTCAAATATACATTAAATTAAAATAAAAAAAATTATTTTTCAATTATATATTATAAAAATTATAATTATATAATTAAAAAAATATATCTATATAATTTTATAATGTTTTATATAAAATTTATAGTTTTAAATATAGTTTTAAAAAGAAGTATGTATTTATTAGATTAATAATATATTTAGAATTATGGTTGAAAGTAGTAAAATATAATTTTTATTTGTGTGATTAAACTTTTTTAAATTTTTACTTTATTTGATATTGTAATATTTTTTTATAAGTGACTCATATATGAATAATTAATTAGAATAAATTAGAATAAATGTTAACCGATCTTATAAATTAATTATATATATATAGTTTTTGCGTAAATTAGAATAATAATTATCAACTTGAAAATAATTTATATTTAATATATATATATATATATATATTCTAAAATATAATTTTATTTTATTTCTACAATATATATAAATAAAAATAAGTTATATTTTGGAATATATATTTTATATTATAGTAATAAAAATAAATTATATTTTAGAATATATATATATATATATATATATATATATATATATATATATATATTAGTTAGTTTTGCTTTCTTATCAAAATAAAAAAAATCTATTTAGGATTAGATAACGGTTGTATATTTAACCGCTATCTAAGACGTATTTGAGATAAGCGGTTAACGTGGAACCGCTATCATATATCAATGTCCAACTTTATTATGATCGATTAAATTTTCAAATGATCGATTATATTCGAAATTTTTTCACCGCTTTGAGTCTCGTTAGTTACAATTGATAAAATGAACGAATATTTAAAATCAAATTTAAGGATTCTCATACGAAGTACATGTTTGCATATACTAGTGTCGCAATAGTTTTTTTTTGGGTCCAATTTACAGTTTTGGTTTGATTAAATTGCCTAACATTTTTTTCACTATTCACGAGATTGAAAACGAAAATCGAAGCTCGAACAAGTTCAATTATCGAAGAGAATAGTGGGTTGCATGTGCGGAATCGAAGCTCTCGAAGAAGCATCTTATGCCAAAGAACCGGCCTATGCTTCTGCTGTGGAGTTGAAGAACTTAGCTGGGGAAGTTACCAAACTTTCATTGCGGAATGCAAAGTTGGAGAAGGAATTGATGGTCGCACGAGACCAGGCCAACACTAGAAATGTCTGTTGGACAAACAGTTAATAAATTATATTTTGAAATATATATTTTATATTATAGTAATTAATATAAATTATATTTTCTCAACTTTTTGCAGAGATTCTTAAGAATCTCTTTGCATGCACGCACCAATGAATCTTGCAGAGTGAGGGTAAGTTGGACATTTCAATTTGTCCAGGGGGCTTTCATCTCATTTCTTCGTGCATCAGCGAAGAACCTCTTTCTCCTCTCTCCCGCTTTTCCTCGCTTTCATTTCGTCGCATTTTGGTTCAATCAAACGTGTGTCATCCTCGTGCTTCTCTCTTCGTGAACGATGACATCGATGGAAACAAACATAGCTTAAAACTTTGCTTGAAGTTATACAATTTTGATTCATTTTTGACAT